TCAGAGAAGCGATGGTTTTGTTTAATTTACTGCCATTTTATTCATACATCAAAACTAATGAATTTCTATACGTTTTAGTGTTTATATTGTTTATATCAATACTCGTTGTGTTTCTCAAGTAATGTATTACTCGTTGACAGCCATTAGCCAAATGTATTAACCATTTGTTTGCTTCTTATGCTTACCGCAGAAGAATGGATGCGTTGGGCAACGGATCCTCTGTTCACCTAAACCGGGAACAAATGGGCGCCCAATCGATGGTTCGCCTCCAGAATCCCTTTATGTTTAAGATATGCGACGAATCTCTTCGTTACGACAATTACCGAAATGGTGTCAAACTGTGCATCACTTGCGACAACTCCTTCTGGGTGTTCGCCTATTGGGCCGTCGATATCGAGGACTTGCACTACACTTTGCAAGAAGAGTGGCAGCCATTGAGACAACAGTTGTTGGACCACAAGTTCATTGCCAATCACTATCTGTTCCGAAGCGAACCCGAACTGTAAGATCAGTTGAGCCATTGGTTTAGTTTGTCGTATAATTTTGTGTATTAATACTATTATATATTAATTTATAGATACTATGAGACCAGTGAAGAGATCATACATTGGGTCAAACCTCCCACCGATTACTTCAGCGGCGAAAGTCTTGGATATAACCCGCGAACGCGTTATCCATTAGTTGTCCTAATAGTAAGTCATTATTTTGTGATAATTATAATATTGTTAATAATACTAATGAATTGATTGACGACATTAGGTCCGCAACGATGATGACGATGGCGTCGAAGTGAATGATAACGATGTGGTCAGTAGTGGTTGTGTTACCGAGATTTTATATTTAGAAGACTAACCGGTAATTGATTTCTCTTAAGGTGTGTATGATTTCGATAATCCATTTGAAGGACTCGTTCTGTTCGACGACAACATCACTGATCACTCAGTATCTGAAGCAACGGTCGGGACATATGTTTGATTTGAAGCAATTGTTTGCACCGCAAAGCGATGTCGAGCCCCGAAGCAGTCAATTCTGTGTCGTATGTCAGACCAGTTTGGTATCGCACGCACTGCTCCCGTGCCGTCACACCTGTCTCTGCGGCCAATGCCTGCAACGGGTGGACAAGTGTCCAGTTTGTCGGTCGCCATTCACCTCATACTTCAGGGTTAGAGACGATGAGTTTGACGCTGAAGACAGCGAACCCGAAGAGGCGTCCGGAACACGAAGCAGCACCGGTTGGTTCACATCAATCAATAGTAAACTGAATCATTGGTTGGGAATGAACTGATCCACGGAT